CCAGGTGGGAAAGAGCCAGTGAAGCCAGGCGGGCGACGCAGCCAGATCTGCTCGTGCAGGCTCCCCTGAAGGAACGCGGTGGAAAAGTCCAAGGAGTGCAACTCGTAGTCGCGCTGGGCTGCAATATGCAGCAACACCCGAAGAGTACTCATCTTCGGGGTGGGAGCGAAGGTCTGGAAGAAGTCCACCCCCTCTCGCTGACTGAAGCCTCTCGCAACATAGCGTGCCTTGAACACAGGTGGTGATCCAGGCGGCCGCTTCACCTTGTAGAGCCATCGGCCACTGACGACATTCGTCCCAAGTGGTGGGACTGCGTCGACGTAAGTGCCTGTGGACCTATAAGATGCCATCTCTGCCTCCTCAGCTGCTATCCAGTACGAAGCCCAGGGTCCCGAGACCACCTCGGCGTGAGTGCGAGGGATCGGGATGTCAAGGGCGTCTGGATCCCCCTCAGGGGCAAGCAGCATGGCGCAGAGATGAGGAACAGCGGCCGCAAGAAAACCAAGCTCGAACTGCCTGTCCTCTACGACCTCCAGGAGAAAGACAGGAGCACCCCCAGAGGACGGAGAACGTGCAGGGCCACTCACCAAGTGAGCGGCGTAGTCAAGGCGGTGGGAAGAGGCAAAGCCAGAGACAGTGGTAACAAGTGCTGAGACAGACGACAGAGGTGCAGTCGGGTGAGTGACCAACGCGGACAAAACACGGGAGACGACAGGACGGGAGGCACGGAGGTAGTCGGACAACGGGTCGTGAAGCACAGTGAGGGACGACTCAGGGGGCTGTGGAAGGACAGGAGGAGGTGGAACACGAGAGCGGAGAACAAGGTGAAACGGACCGTCTGCACGGTAACGGGACCGACGGGGCTGTGGAGACACAGCACGACTGAGGGGAGGACGACGAGTCCACTGGGAGGAGGAAAGGGACTCAACTGGTGGAACAGGAGGGGACGACAGGGGACCACGAACAAAGCGTGCAGGTGCTGGGTCGGGGAGGTCGCGTAGTCGCAGTCGCTGCTGCTCCGCCTCCTCTGGCGTCTGCTGCGACGGTACCGGCCCCTGCTGCTGCTCCTGTGGCTCCGCCTCTGCCCTCTCCTGCTGCGGCTGCAGCTGTACCCGCTGCTGCGACCGGGACTCCTGCGCTACCCTCTCCTGCTGCTGCCGTGACTCCTCCTCTACTCTCTCCTGCTGCGTCTGGAACTGCACCTGCTGCTGCGGGTGGGACTCCTGCTCTACCCTCTCCTGGTGCGGCCGTGACTGCTCCTCTACTCTCTCCTGCTGTGTCTGTAACTGCACCTGCTGCTGCGGGCGGGACTCCTGCTCTACCCTCTCCTGGTGCGGCCGTGACTCCTCCTCTACCCTCTCCTGCTGCGGCTGCAGCTGCACCCGCTGCTGCGACCGGGACTCCTGCGCTACCCTCTCGTGCTGCTGCTGTGACTCCTCCTCTACTCTCTCCTGCTGCTGCTGCTGCTGCTGCTGCTGCTGCTGCTGCTGCTGCTGTGCCCTCTCAAATCGCTCACGCTCCTCCCTCTCCAACCGGAGGAGACGCTGCTCACGGGTCAGGAAACGTACAGTGCGCGGTGTAGGCGCCACAGTGCCAGTGCCTCCAGCTCCAGCACCCCCAGAACCAGCACCTCCACCACCAACACCCCCGGGGCCTCCAGTACCTCCCGCAGGAACACCCCCAGGCTCCGCAGCAACCGACCGCAGAGAAGAAGGAGGAGGAAACTGCGGGACGGACGGGAAGCGAGGGGGTGAGGCAGGGCGAGGCCGCCGAGTCGAGGCTGCCGTGTCCTCCACAGGAGTGACCTCCATGCCCACAACCCCTGCACCCCCAGAGCCGGCACCACCAGCTCCTGCAGCCCCAGTACCCTCACCCTCCGCAACTGCACCTCCCGCACCCCCATACACGACAGGGACTGGACGCTGCGGGGGGGAAGACTGCGGAGTGACGTGCGACACACCTGACGGGGCAGGACGCGAAGGGGGGGGGGCTACCGGGGCGACTGGTGGGGGCTCAAGGGTGAGGAACAGCGGGGGGGAAAAGGCCTGAGTACCTCGGTGGGGGCGACTCCTGTAGTAACAGACAGACTCGTCGAACGTGACGTCCTGCGAAGCGAAGAACTGGTAGGTGACCGGGTCGTAGAACACCCAGCTGGAGGCGTCCAAAGGGAAGCCAAGAAAGACGCAGGCACGAGTGCGCGGAGACAACTTGTTCGCGCCAGGGGCGCGAACGTGAGCCAGACAACCCCAGACGCGGAAGTCAGCTGCTACGCCCGGAGAACCTGTCCAAAGGGAGACCGGCGTCACCCTTGGCCGTGCGTCACTGGGCCACAGGTTCAGCTGGTGCGCGGCGTAGCGGACTGCCTGGGGCCACAAGAACTGGGGGGCACCGGCATGGCACATGGAGGTCCGGGCAACCTCCATGACCAGGCCGATGCGTCGCTCGGCTACCCCGTTCTGCTGCGGTGATGCTGGTAGCGTGTAAGACTGGATGATCCCCCGACCCTGACAGAACGTCTCCAGGCGAGTGGAAGAAAACTCACCACCACGGTCCGAGTGTAGGCGAAGCCCACACAGGCCCTGGGCGCCACCCCACGCTAGTAGCCACGGCTCGAGGACGGTAGGCACGTCGGCCTTCCGTCGCAAGGGGAAAACCGTGGTGTAGCGGGAGTAGTCGTCCACCACAATCAGGAAGTAGCGCTCCTGACGTGGGCCAAGGACCGGAGAGGGGCCCCAGACGTCCAAGTGCAGGGTCTCGAAGGGAGCCGTGGTGGGGGGGGAACGAGGAGGAGTGAGGGGCAGCGCGCTGGCGACCCTCGACGCAAGGAGTGCACAGCGGCGCAGGAGAGCGGGGAAGCGGTGCAAGCGACCCTGGGAGACCTGAGACCAGACGGTAACGTGCCATCCTACTGAGACGCGGGAACGACGGGTGACCTAGACGGTGGTGCCAGAGGACCGACAGGTGGGTGAGGGACCGACAGTCACACGACACAGCAGCTACCTGACCTGACCTGACCTGACCCGACTCAGTGTGGTGGGACCCAGTGTGTAGTGAGTACAGACCAGATCCCGGCTCTCTGTGGAATGTGGCCAGGGGCGCCCCAGTGGCACCGACAGTGCAGGAGGCAACAGGCTCGTCCAGTGGGAAAGTAGTGACTACGCCTAGGTCGTGAAGGTGACTGACACCCACCAAGTTCCTAGAGAACGAGGGGGTGTAGTAACCTGTAAGAAAACCTGAGGGAGCCGCCGGACACGGAAGAGTGGTGGTGCTGCTAGCAACTACACGTCCCACAGAGGGGTCAGCCAAGGCGACAGTGACCGGAGTGCGCAGTGGTGTGAGGTCGGTACAGTCGCGAAAGAAACAGCTGGACGCTCCAGAATCTAGGGTGAAGGAAAGTTGTGCAGTCTGTGGGGTCGCACCCGAACCAGCTACAAAGGCTAGTGCTAGACTAGTGGTAGCTGCAGCTTCTACACAAAGACCCTCAGAGGCGCCGGGACTGGAAACAACACACGCACCAAGACTGGAAACACAGGTCTCTACTCGTGCAGCCGGAAAGGGTCCTAGACCAGGCAGGTGAGACTCAACTGGTGCAGTAGTGCGCTGGCGAAGGCGCGAAGGCCAGTGCGGTGTAATAGCGTGAGGACCAAAACGCTCACGGTGGAGGTCGTCGAGTCGACGGTAGCAGCTGGACGCAGTGTGGTCAGGACTCCAGCAGGTAGTGCCAGCACCAGGGCCTGTCAGGGCCCGGTACCCGCAGGGGCCGACGTCTCGCCCACTGCTAGCTGAGCCACTGCTGGGGGCGCCACACTTTGGACCCGCAGGCCCCAACTGACGGGAGTGCTGCGGCTGGCCCTGCTGCTGTAGAACCCTAGTACATGCCATGTGAGCCTATGCTGCTACTGGTTCTGCTGAGGGCAGCCTAAGCTGCTGCTGGTGCGCTGGGGGCAGCCTGTGCTGCTTCTGGTTCTGCTGAGAGGCAGCCTAGGCTGCTACTGGTTCTCCAGGGGGCAGCCAATGCTGCTGCTAGTGCGCAGGCAGTTGCCTAAGCTGCTGCTGGTGCGCTGGGGGCAGCCTATGCTGCTGCTGGTTCGCTGGGGGCAGCCTATGCTGCTGCTGGTTCTGCTGGTTCTGCTGGTTCTGCTGGTTCTGCTGGTTCTGCTGGTTCTGCTGGTTCTGCTGGTTCTGCTGGTTCTGCTGGTTCTGCTGGTTTTGCTGGTTCTGCTGGTTCTGCTGGTTCTGCTGGTTCTACTGGTTCTGCTGGTTCTGCTGGTTCTGCTGGTTCTGCTGGTTCTGCTGGGGGCAGCCTACGTTGCTGCTGGTGCGCTGGGGGCAGCCTATGCTGCTGCTGGTGTAGCTGGCGGCAGTGTAATCGGCTGGGGCTACTGACGGCGGGTGTGGTAGGTCGTGGGGAGGCAGGTTTCAGGTGGGGAAGCTGTTAAGGCAGCGGGCTACGGGTGAGGCGGCGGTTCTGTGCAGTTCTGTGCGGTTATGTGCAGTACTGTGCGGTTCTGTGAGGTTCAATGCGGTGGAGAGGACTGGGTGGGGCAGCTGATTCCGGGTGAGGTGCCTGGAACGGGTGGGGCAGCAGGTTTCCAGGTGGGGCGGCGGTTGTCAGGTCTGGGGCGGTGGTTTTCAGGTGGGGAAGCTGTGAAGGCGGCGGTTCTGTGCGGTTCTGTGCAGTTATGTGCAGTTCTGTGCGGTTCAATGCGGTGGAGAGGACTGGGTGGGGCGGCTGATCCCGGGTGAGGTGCCTGGAACGGGTGGGGCAGCAGGTTTCCAGGTGGGGCGGCGGTTGTCAGGTCTGGGGCGGCGGTTTTCAGGTCTGGGGCGGCGGGTTTCCAAGTTCGGCGGCGGTTTTCAGGTCTGTAATGGCGGGTTTTCAGGTCTGGGGGGCGGTTAAGACGGTGGGCTGCACGTGCGCGCGGCCGCGACGTACTACCGCGAAGCTGCGGGTGCGACTAAGGCTGCGCGCGCAGCTACGCGCGTTCGTCTGCTGCGCGCTAGAGGGCTGGGGGGAAACGCGCGGGGTAAAACGAGTGGGGCGCGGGGCAGAAAACGAGTGACGCACGGCAAAAACGGGTGGGGCGCAGGGCAGAAACGGGTGACGCGCGATGTCGACGGGGGGGCGCGACCTACTCGGGCTCTACGGGGCAGGGCGCTTCGGGCTATGGGTCGCTACGAGGCGCGCGGGTGGTGGGCCCATAGACTATCGAGAGAAATTTCGCCTAAGGGAAAAAATCGCCTAGGGGAAAAATCGCCTAAGGGAAACCTAGCTCTGATACCATGTCAGAATCCCAACCACTAGACCATTGGGATAAAAGGGCTTGTTAAGTAGCGGGTCAGTGCGCCCATAACCCCCCAGGACAACGAGCCTGTAACCCTTCCCTAGGATCAATCGGGGATCACCAGTGGACCTCTGACACCCCCCCGCACTGGGATGCCCGAAGTGCACACACTGGGATTCGAACCCGAGACCTTTGCTCTGATACCATGTTACGATAAGAATGAATTGATAGAAAATGTGAAGTACAACCCTAGATATAGCAAACCCTAATCATGCAAGTAAGTAGAAACGTAACACCTAGACTAACCTAAACAACACATATAAAATATATGTTGACAGCAGCACCTGTAGCAGCAGCACCTGTAGCAGCAGCACCTGTAGCAGCAGCACCTGTAGCAGCAGCACCTGTAGCAGCAGCACCTGTAGCAGCAGCACCTGTAGCAGCAGCACCTGTAGCAGCAGCACCTGTAGCAGCAGCACCTGTAGCAGCAGCACCTGTAGCAGCAGCACCTGTAGCAGCAGCACCTGTAGCAGCAGCATCTGTAGCAGCAGCATCTGTAGCAGCAGCATCTGTAGCAGCAGCACCTGTAGCAGCAGCACCTGTAGCAGCAGCACCTGTAGCAGCAGCACCTGTAGCAGCAGCATCTGTAGCAGCAGCATCTGTAGCAGCATCTGTAGCAGCAGCACCTGTAGCAGCAGCACCTGTAGCAGCAGCACCTGTAGCAGCAGCACCTGTAGCAGCAGCACCTGTAGCAGCAGCATCTGTAGCAGCAGCACCTGTAGCAGCAGCACCTGTAGCAGCAGCACCTGTAGCAGCAGCACCTGTAGCAGCAGCACCTGTAGCAGCAGCATCTGTAGCAGCAGCATCTGTAGCAGCATCTGTAGCAGCAGCACCTGTAGCAGCAGCACCTGTAGCAGCAGCACCTGTAGCAGCAGCACCTGTAGCAGCAGCACCTGTAGCAGCAGCATCTGTAGCAGCAGCACCTGTAGCAGCAGCACCTGTAGCAGCAGCACCTGTAGCAGCAGCACCTGTAGCAGCAGCACCTGTAGCAGCAGCATCTGTAGCAGCAGCATCTGTAGCAGCAGAACCTCTAGCAGCAGAACCTGTAGCAGCAGCATCTGTAGCAGCAGCACCTGTAGCAGCAGCATCTGTAGCAGCAGCACCTGTAGCAGCAGCATCTGTAGCAGCAGCATCTGTAGCAGCAGCACCTGTAGCAGCAGCACCTGTAGCAGCAGCACCTGTAGCAGCAGCACCTGTAGCAGCAGCACCTGTAGCAGCAGCACCTGTAGCAGCAGCACCTGTAGCAGCAGCACCTGTAGCAGCAGCACCTGTAGCAGCAGCACCTGTAGCAGCAGCACCTGTAGCAGCAGCACCTGTAGCAGCAGCACCTGTAGCAGCAGCATCTGTAGCAGCAGCATCTGTAGCAGCAGCATCTGTAGCAGCAGCATCTGTAGCAGCAGCACCTGTAGCAGCAGCACCTGTAGCAGCAGCACCTGTAGCAGCAGCACCTGTAGCAGCAGCACCTGTAGCAGCAGCACCTGTAGCAGCAGCACCTGTAGCAGCAGCACCTGTAGCAGCAGCACCTGTAGCAGCAGCACCTGTAGCAGCAGCACCTGTAGCAGCAGCACCTGTAGCAGCAGCATCTGTAGCAGCAGCACCTGTAGCAGCAGCACCTGTAGCAGCAGCACCTGTAGCAGCAGCACCTGTAGCAGCAGCACCTGTAGCAGCAGCACCTGTAGCAGCAGCATCTGTAGCAGCAGCATCTGTAGCAGCAGCACCTGTAGCAGCAGCACCTGTAGCAGCAGCACCTGTAGCAGCAGCACCTGTAGCAGCAGCATCTGTAGCAGCAGCACCTGTAGCAGCAGCACCTGTAGCAGCAGCACCTGTAGCAGCAGCACCTGTAGCAGCAGCACCTGTAGCAGCAGCATCTGTAGCAGCAGCATCTGTAGCAGCAGCACCTGTAGCAGCAGCATCTGTAGCAGCAGCACCTGTAGCAGCAGCATCTGTAGCAGCAGCACCTGTAGCAGCAGCACCTGTAGCAGCAGCACCTGTAGCAGCAGCACCTGTAGCAGCAGCACCTGTAGCAGCAGCACCTGTAGCAGCAGCACCTGTAGCAGCAGCACCTGTAGCAGCAGCACCTGTAGCAGCAGCACCTGTAGCAGCAGCACCTGTAGCAGCAGCACCTGTAGCAGCAGCACCTGTAGCAGCAGCATCTGTAGCAGCAGCACCTGTAGCAGCAGCATCTGTAGCAGCAGCACCTGTAGCAGCAGCATCTGTAGTGGCAGCACCTGTAGCAGCAGCATCTGTAGTGGCAGCACCTGTAGCAGCAGCATCTGTAGTGGCAGCACCTGTAGCAGCAGCATCTGTAGTGGCAGCACCTGTAGCAGCAGCATCTGTAGTGGCAGCACCTGTAGCAGCAGCACCTGTAGCAGCAGCACCTGTAGCAGCAGCACCTGTAGCAGCAGCACCTGTAGCAGCAGCACCTGTAGCAGCAGCACCTGTAGCAGCAGCACCTGTAGCAGCAGCACCTGTAGCAGCAGCACCTGTAGCAGCAGCACCTGTAGCAGCAGCACCTGTAGCAGCAGCATCTGTAGTGGCAGCACCTGTAGCAGCAGCATCTGTAGTGGCAGCACCTGTAGCAGCAGCACCTGTAGCAGCAGCACCTGTAGCAGCAGCATCTGTAGTGGCAGCATCTGTAGTGGCAGCATCTGTAGTGGCAGCACCTGTAGTGGCAGCATCTGTAGCAGCAGCACCTGTAGTGGCAGCACCTGTAGCAGCAGCACCTGTAGCAGCAGCACCTGTAGCAGCAGCATCTGTAGTGGCAGCACCTGTAGCAGCAGCACCTGTAGCAGCAGCACCTGTAGCAGCAGCACCTGTAGCAGCAGCACCTGTAGCAGCAGCACCTGTAGCAGCAGCACCTGTAGCAGCAGCACCTGTAGCAGCAGCACCTGTAGCAGCAGCACCTGTAGCAGCAGCACCTGTAGCAGCAGCACCTGTAGCAGCAGCACCTGTAGCAGCAGCACCTGTAGCAGCAGCACCTGTAGCAGCAGCACCTGTAGCAGCAGCACCTGTAGCAGCAGCACCTGTAGCAGCAGCACCTGTAGCAGCAGCACCTGTAGCAGCAGCACCTGTAGCAGCAGCACCTGTAGCAGCAGCACCTGTAGCAGCAGCACCTGTAGCAGCAGCACCTGTAGCAGCAGCACCTGTAGCAGCAGCACCTGTAGCAGCAGCACCTGTAGCAGCAGCACCTGTAGCAGCAGCACCTGTAGCAGCAGCACCTGTAGCAGCAGCACCTGTAGCAGCAGCACCTGTAGCAGCAGCACCTGTAGCAGCAGCACCTGTAGCAGCAGCACCTGTAGCAGCAGCACCTGTAGCAGCAGCACCTGTAGCAGCAGCACCTGTAGCAGCAGCACCTGTAGCAGCAGCACCTGTAGCTAGCAGCACCTGTAGCAGCAGCACCTGTAGCAGCAGCACCTGTAGCAGCAGCACCTGTAGCAGCAGCACCTGTAGCAGCAGCACCTGTAGCAGCAGCACCTGTAGCAGCAGCACCTGTAGCAGCAGCACCTGTAGCAGCAGCACCTGTAGCAGCAGCACCTGTAGCAGCAGCACCTGTAGCAGCAGCACCTGTAGCAGCAGCACCTGTAGCAGCAGCACCTGTAGCAGCAGCACCTGTAGCAGCAGCACCTGTAGCAGCAGCACCTGTAGCAGCAGCACCTGTAGCAGCAGCACCTGTAGCAGCAGCACCTGTAGCAGCAGCACCTGTAGCAGCAGCACCTGTAGCAGCAGCACCTGTAGCAGCAGCACCTGTAGCAGCAGCACCTGTAGCAGCAGCACCTGTAGCAAGCAGCACCTGTAGCAGCAGCACCTGTAGCAGCAGCACCTGTAGCAGCAGCACCTGTAGCAGCAGCACCTGTAGCAGCAGCACCTGTAGCAGCAGCACCTGTAGCAGCAGCACCTGTAGCAGCAGCACCTGTAGCAGCAGCACCTGTAGCAGCAGCACCTGTAGCAAGCAGCACCTGTAGCAGCAGCACCTGTAGCAGCAGCACCTGTAGCAGCAGCACCTGTAGCAGCAGCACCTGTAGCAGCAGCACCTGTAGCAGCAGCACCTGTAAGCAGCAGCACCTGTAGCAGCAGCACCTGTAGCAGCAGCACCTGTAGCAGCAGCACCTGTAGCAGCAGCACCTGTAGCAGCAGCACCTGTAGCAGCAGCACCTGTAGCAGCAGCACCTGTAGCAGCAGCACCTGTAGCAGCAGCACCTGTAGCAGCAGCACCTGTAGCAGCAGCACCTGTAGCAGCAGCACCTGTAGCAGCAGCACCTGTAGCAGCAGCACCTGTAGCAGCAGCACCTGTAGCAGCAGCACCTGTAGCAGCAGCACCTGTAGCAGCAGCACCTGTAGCAGCAGCACCTGTAGCAGCAGCACCTGTAGCAGCAGCACCTGTAGCAGCAGCACCTGTAGCAGCAGCACCTGTAGCAGCAGCACCTGTAGCAGCAGCACCTGTAGCAGCAGCACCTGTAGCAGCAGCACCTGTAGCAGCAGCACCTGTAGCAGCAGCACCTGTAGCAGCAGCACCTGTAGCAGCAGCACCTGTAGCAGCAGCACCTGTAGCAGCAGCACCTGTAGCAGCAGCAACCTGTAGCAGCAGCACCTGTAGCAGCAGCACCTGTAGCAGCAGCACCTGTAGCAGCAGCACCTGTAGCAGCAGCACCTGTAGCAGCAGCACCTGTAGCAGCAGCACCTGTAGCAGCAGCACCTGTAGCAGCAGCACCTGTAGCAGCAGCACCTGTAGCAGCAGCACCTGTAGCAGCAGCACCTGTAGCAGCAGCACCTGTAGCAGCAGCACCTGTAGCAGCAGCACCTGTAGCAGCAGCACCTGTAGCAGCAGCACCTGTAGCAGCAGCACCTGGTAGCAGCAGCACCTGTAGCAGCAGCCCTGTAGCAGCAGCACCTGTAGCAGCAGCACCTGTAGCAGGCAGCACCTGTAGCAGCAGCACCTGTAGCAGCAGCACCTGTAGCAGCAGCACCTGTAGCAGCAGCACCTGTAGCAGCAGCACCTGTAGCAGCAGCACCTGTAGCAGCAGCACCTGTAGCAGCAGCACCTGTAGCAGCAGCACCTGTAGCAGCAGCACCTTCTGTAGCAGCAGCACCTGTAGCAGCAGCACCTGTAGCAGCCAGCACCTGTAGCAGCAGCACCTGTAGCAGCAGCACCTGTAGCAGCAGCACCTGTAGCAGCAGCACCTGTAGCAGCAGCACCTGTAGCAGCAGCACCTGTAGCAGCAGCACCTGTAGCAGCAGCACCTGTAGCAGCAGCACCTGTAGCAGCAGCACCTGTAGCAGCAGCACCTGTAGCAGCAGGCACCTGTAGCAGCAGCACCTGTAGCAGCAGCACCTGTAGCAGCAGCACCTGTAGCAGCAGCACCTGTAGCAGCAGCACCTGTAGCAGCAGCACCTGTAGCAGCAGCACCTGTAGCAGCAGCACCTGTAGCAGCAGCACCTGTAGCAGCAGCACCTGTAGCAGCAGCACCTGTTAGCAGCAGCACCTGTAGCAGCAGCACCTGTAGCAGCAGCACCTGTAGCAGCAGCACCTGTAGCAGGGGCAGCACCTGTAGCAGCAGCACCTGTAGCAGCAGCACTGTAGCAGCAGCACCTGTAGCAGCAGCACCTGTAGCAGCAGCACCTGTAGCAGCAGCACCTGTAGCAGCAGCACCTGTAGCAGCAGCACCTGTAGCAGCAGCACCTGTAGCAGCAGCACCTGTAGCAGCAGCACCTGTAGCAGCAGCACCTGTAGCAGCAGCACCTGTAGCAGCAGCACCTGTAGCAGCAGCACCTGTAGCAGCAGCACCTGTAGCAGCAGCACCTGTAGCAGCAGCACCTGTAGCAGCAGCACCTGTAGCAGCAGCACCTGTAGCAGCAGCACCTGTAGCAGCAGCACCTGTAGCAGCAGCACCTGTAGCAGCAGCACCTGTAGCAGCAGCACCTGTAGCAGCAGCACCTGTAGCAGCAGCACCTGTAGCAGCAGCACCTGTAGCAGCAGCACCTGTAGCAGCAGCACCTGTAGCAGCAGCACCTGTAGCAGCAGCACCTGTAGCAGCAGCACCTGTAGCAGCAGCACCTGTAGCAGCAGCACCTGTAGCAGCAGCACCTGTAGCAGCAGCACCTGTAGCAGCAGCACCTGTAGCAGCAGCACCTGTAGCAGCAGCACCTGTAGCAGCAGCACCTGTAGCAGCAGCACTGTAGCAGCAGCACCTGTAGCAGCAGCACCTGTAGCAGCAGCACCTGTAGCAGCAGCACCTGTAGCAGCAGCACCTGTAGCAGCAGCACCTGTAGCAGCAGCACCTGTAGCAGCAGCACCTGTAGCAGCAGCACCTGTTAGCAGCAGCACCTGTAGCAGCAGCACCTGTAGCAGCAGCACCTGTAGCAGCAGCACCTGTAGCAGCAGCACCTTTAGCAGCAGCACCTGTAGCAGCAGCACCTGTAGCAGCAGCACCTGTAGCAGCAGCACCTGTAGCAGCAGCACCTGTAGCAGCAGCACCTGTAGCAGCAGCACCTGTAGCAGCAGCACCTGTAGCAGCAGCACCTGTAGCAGCAGCACCTGTAGCAGCAGCACCTGTAGCAGCAGCCCTGTAGCAGCGCCACCTGTAGCAGCAGCACCTGTAGCAGCAGCACCTGTAGCAGCAGCACCTGTAGCAGCAGCACCTGTAGCAGCAGCACCTGTAGCAGCAGCAACCTGTAGCAGCAGCACTGTAGCAGCAGCACCTGTAGCAGCAGCACCTGTAGCAGCAGCACCTGTAGCAGCAGCACCTGTAGCAGCAGCACCTGTAGCAGCAGCACCTGTAGCAGCAGCACCTGTAGCAGCAGCACCTGTAGCAGCAGCACCTAGCATCAACCTGCAGCAGCACCTGTAGCAACAGCACTGTAGCAGCAGCACCTGTAGCAGCAGCACCTGTAGCAGCAGCACTGTAGCAGCAGCACTGTAGCAGCAGCACCTTGTAGCAGCAGCACCGTAGCAGGCAGCACCTGTAGCAGCAGCACCCTGTAGCAGCAGCACCTGTAGCAGCAGCACCTGTAGCATGCAGCACCTGTAGCAGCAGCACCTGTAGCAGCAGCACCTGTAGCAGCAGCACCTGTAGCAGCAGCACCTGTAGCAGAGCACCTGTAGCAGCAGCACCTGTAGCAGCAGCACCTGTAGCAGCAGCACCTGTAGCAGCAGCACCTGTAGCAGCAGCACCTGTAGCAGCAGCACCTGTAGCAGCAGCACCTGTAGCAGCAGCACCTGTAGCAGCAGCACCTGTAGCAGCAGCACCTGTAGCAGCAGCACCTGTAGCAGCAGCACCTGTAGCAGCAGCACCTGTAGCAGCAGCACCTGTAGCAGCAGCACCTGTAGCAGCAGGCACCTGTAGCAGCAGCACCTGTAGCAGCAGCACCTAGCAGCACCTGTAGCAGCAGCACCTGTAGCAGCAGCACCTGTAGCAGCAGCACCTGTAGCAGCAGCACCTGTAGCAGCAGCACCTGTAGCAGCAGCACCTGTAGCAGCAGCACCTGTAGCAGCAGCACCTGTAGCAGCAGCACCTGTAGCAGCAGCACCTGTAGCAGCAGCATCTGTAGCAGCAGCACCTGTAGCAGCAGCATCTGTAGCAGCAGCACCTGTAGCAGCAGCACCTGTAGCAGCAGCATCTGTAGCAGCAGCACCTGTAGCAGCAGCATCTGTAGCAGCAGCACCTGTAGCAGCAGCATCTGTAGCAGCAGCACCTGTAGCAGCAGAGCAGCATCTGTAGCAGCAGCATCTGTAGCAGCAGCACCTGTAGCAGCAGCATCTGTAGCAGCAGCACCTGTAGCAGCAGCATCTGTAGCAGCAGCACCTGTAGCAGCAGCACCTGTAGCAGCAGCACCTGTAGCAGCAGCACCTGTAGCAGCAGCATCTGTAGCAGCAGCACCTGTAGCAGCAGCATCTGTAGCAGCAGCACCTGTAGCAGCAGCATCTGTAGCAGCAGCACCTGTAGCAGCAGCATCTGTAGCAGCAGCACCTGTAGCAGCAGCATCTGTAGCAGCAGCACCTGTAGCAGCAGCATCTGTAGCAGCAGCACCTGTAGCAGCAGCATCTGTAGCAGCAGCACCTGTAGCAGCAGCACCTGTAGCAGCAGCACCTGTAGCAGCAGCACCTGTAGCAGCAGCACCTGTAGCAGCAGCACCTGTAGCAGCAGCACCTGTAGCAGCAGCACCTGTAGCAGCAGCACCTGTAGCAGCAGCACCTGTAGCAGCAGCACCTGTAGCAGCAGCACCTGTAGCAGCAGCACCTGTAGCAGCAGCACCTGTAGCAGCAGCACCTGTAGCAGCAGCACCTGTAGCAGCAGCACCTGTAGCAGCAGCACCTGTAGCAGCAGCACCTGTAGCAGCAGCACCTGTAGCAGCAGCACCTGTAGCAGCAGCACCTGTAGCAGCAGCACCTGTAGCAGCAGCACCTGTAGCAGCAGCACCTGTAGCAGCAGCACCTGTAGCAGCAGCACCTGTAGCAGCAGCACCTGTAGCAGCAGCACCTGTAGCAGCAGCACCTGTAGCAGCAGCACCTGTAGCAGCAGCACCTGTAGCAGCAGCACCTGTAGCAGCAGCACCTGTAGCAGCAGCACCTGTAGCAGCAGCACCTGTAGCAGCAGCACCTGTAGCAGCAGCACCTGTAGCAGCAGCACCTGTAGCAGCAGCACCTGTAGCAGCAGCACCTGTAGCAGCAGCACCTGTAGCAGCAGCACCTGTAGCAGCAGCACCTGTAGCAGCAGCACCTGTAGCAGCAGCACCTGTAGCAGCAGCACCTGTAGCAGCAGCACCTGTAGCAGCAGCACCTGTAGCAGCAGCACCTGTAGCAGCAGCACCTGTAGCAGCAGCATCACGTGTTGCAATTCCTCCTCCTACTGCTCCTGCTCCCGCTGCTAATGCTCCTGATGTTAATGCTCCTGCTGCCCCCTCTACTACTCTCCCTTCAGTATTATCAACCGCTCCAACAATCACCCCATCTCCGCCCCTCTCCCCCCCACCTTCCACACCCTCTCCCTTCCCCTCCTCTTGCTTCTTCTTCCTCCTCAGCCTATCCTTCTCCCTCAACTTATCCCTGCCGCCTCTCCCCACCCCCCTCCCATCCCTATACCCCCCAACATCCAGCAGAAGCTTCCTCCCTTCTTCCTCCTCATGCCAAAACGCGTGCGGCACCAGCCGCCCGGAAAACTTGTCCTCTAGCTGCTCCCTTTCCGCGTCGGTCAGCACGGGCAGGTAATAGATCGGCAGCGCCTCGATTGACGGCAGAGATGCAATCCGCTCCACCAAAAAACAAAAATTCGCGCTCAGCCGAGCAACAGTAGATTCATCGTACTTAGACACGTCGTACCGCCACCGAATCAGCACCGCTTTCTTTTTCGACCCAGGGACAAACAACCCGGCAAGCCCACACGATGGTATATCCTCCCCTTCCTCTTCAATTGTCTGCCTGTCAATCCCATACGCAAAATACTTGAAGAAAGCCGGAAACCCTTTGGCTACCGCAGCTGCACTTGCAGCAGCCACCCTGCTCCGGGCTGTTGACGCAGATCTAGCCGTTCCCCTCCCCACACTCTCCCTATCCACATCAGACATGCCATCCCCGGACACGCCCCTTCCCCCCGCCCGCACACTCCGCCCCTCCCCCGGCCCCCCACCTAACGACCGTGCCAAACTCCCGCTGTGGTCTCTTGTAGGGTTATCCAACCCACCGCTGTGACCTACCCCGGATGCGCCTCCCCCTTCCTCCGCGCTCCCCACGGCTTCAAACAGCCGCGATCCCACGTGGGCCAGCATCTCCAGTAGAGTCACGTCTCTGTCAGAACGCCCCGCCCCAGATGCACCTACCCCGGATACACCTCCCCCAGATACACCCACCCCGGATGTGCCCGCCCCTGCGACGGTTCCCGGGTCCGATCTGAGACTGTGCTGCTTCGCTAGCCCCATAGACGGCAGCCCCGCCGCCCCCAGACTGCCCTGCCGCGGAACTGCGCCTGGTGGCGCAGCAGCAGGGGGGAGTGCGGAAGGGGGGAGTAGGTTGTCCGCATGCGGGGCGCGCGCGGGCAGATTATCCATTTCCACGTTCACCACGAGTAATTGATCCTCGTCCTCCTCTCCCACGGCGGAGAAACTCGTTATAGAGCTCATCGCGTCCGATATAGTGTCGTGAAACAGCCCGTTAGCGCGCCAGCTAACCCTAAGATCCTGCCCCGACGGCGGCGCGTCGTACAGCTTCCCCCCCTGCCACAGCCGCAGCAGCCCGCTCCCTGCGGGCTTCGCGGAAGCTGCTCCCGCACCTGCTCCTGCTGCTATGGGTTTCGCCCCTCCCCCTGCCATTGCGCTGACCATGGTGGATAGGAGACCTGTGGCTAGTCCGGCTGGCCGCATTCCCTGCGGGATGGCTCCGCCCTTGCCTCCCCCCACGCCCCCGCCAGGACCTGCAGATGACTGGTACGCCGCGCGCGCCGCCGCTCCTAGCGCTCCTCCCGATGGAGCTCCTCCTCCTCCGCCACCTATCGCGGACAGCCGCGTGGCCTGGCGCGACGACTCGAACTCGGAATCGGAGTACTCACTATCGGAGAAAAGTGACTGGCGGTGCCCGCCTGCGCCCCCGTCCCCGTGCCCCTTTCCCCCGCCTCCCCCTCCTCCCCCGCCCTTGTGCGCTTCCGCCGGTGGCGGCTCATCGTCCGCATCTTCCGCCTGCAAGATGTACCACTCGAACGACACTCCCACGGGGAAATCCCTCCGCCTGGGGTTGTATCGGTGCAGAGTGGTGCAGAAGGCTGTGAGGAGAAGCAGAGGGATGGGAGCTCCCCAGGGAAGGCCGGTCAGAGGGCCCCATGCCATCCCCACGCGCTCGAGTTTTTCGATCGTCGCCGCATCGATTAGACCTGGAACCCATGCGTACTCCTCCGATTGCTCCGGCCGGCCCGGAATAGCCGGCTGACGGGTAGTTGACGGCGGGAGCATTTCCATAACTGAACCGCCAACCGGGGAGTTCAGATATTACGGTGTACGAGTTTACAGCCGTCCGGTAATGCTAAGTCGGGAAAAAGCAAGTCAGCTGCTGCCTAAGCGGTTCGCCAAGAGATGAGATGGAACGAGTCACCTGAGAAACGAAAACCGAAGCGAGCGTCATGGGTTACCCGTTGAACTAACTAGGAAAACGGCAGTATGTCGCCGAGAAAAGAACTCGCACGATGACCTGCGACCTGGATACGTGATAATCGCTAGAATCACAGAAGCAACCTATGAACGGAACCCAAATCGAGCACAATCGAAGCATGTACGGATCCTGTTGTGGTAGAACCAAGGCTGTCTGGCGGGAGCTAAAAAAGAATTGACGTAGAACTACTGCTGCTGGAAGAAGACAGCCTTGGAGGAATTACCTGCAACTCCCACCAAGCCTCACTCCGAGAAAAGCGCGACCAGGAAAAGCAGGTTGGGCACCCCTGGCAGCGCATGTTGGCGAGGCGTGGCGAGGCGTGGCGAGGCGTGGCGAGGCGTGGCGAGGCGTGGCGAGGCGTGGCGAGGCGTGGCGAGGCGTGGCGAGGCGTGGCGAGGCGTGGCGAGGCGTGGCGAGGCGTGGCGAGGCGTGGCGAGGCGTGGCGAGGCGTGGCGACGCTGACGAAGACGTCGTGGTCATGAAATTATGAGGTGGAAGTGGGTGTGACGAAAGAGTTTTGTGTAACTGTTCGTTTCGCGCAATTGACACACCATGCACGACTCGTGGTGAAAAGTGTGGTTCGTCAAGCGGGGGACGGTCTTGGTTCTGACAGACAGTCACAGCCTGTGACAGTTAGCGCGCGAAACCCTGGTGTCGACAAAGAGTGATTCGTTGTTGTTTGGCCACTGTTGAGTTCCTCTGCGATTTGACTCACTTTACCTGTTCTCCCTACAGCGATTGTGCGATTATTTCAACATCTAATCTGTTTTGGCATACAGAATTTTGACATAGCAAATCCCACTTCAAAATTCAATTCGGTAGGGGCCGCGCGAACGCGAGCCCCCTCTGCCACAAATTATGACGTGCATCACCGGGAGTTCCGGCGTGCTAGGGACAGGGCCGGCCGAAGTGCAATGGCGGGCCCGCCCCTAGGCCATCGGCCTTCTTGATCACCGATTGACCCCGCCCAGGTAAGTATGCCATCCTCATCACAACAATTCGTTTTTATTTTCCCAAGAACAAATACCAAACTTCTACGCTGTGGTACCAGTCTGTACACGTGGAATCGTGCTCGACTGTCTTCGACACTTCAATGTCATCGGAGCAGTTGTGACTGGGCAAGCTCCAGAAGGGCCAGCAGCCAGCACCAGCAGCAGCCCCATTTCTTCCCAGCAACGAGTGGGTACCCTTTCCAGCCATTATTCTTCGAACATCACTACTAACGAGAATAACTCCGTTTCCTTCCGCGAGAGCCGTCACAACGCACGACTCTGCGTCAATACTCAAATAGTTTCCGTCACACTAGTGTTCTTCTGCTCTTACCAATTTCCTGCAATTGCTAAAATGGAAGGAAGCGTAGACCAGAGTGAGAATTGCTCAAATCCGAATCCCGCGGAAACGGATTCCGACTCGGCGCGCAGCATCACACGACGGGCGTACGCGCGTGTGGGGCTGTTGGGGAATCCCAGCGACGGCTACAACGGAAAGACTCTTTCCTTCTCCCTCGCCAACTTCTTCGCCGAAGTCACGTTACAGCCTTCGCGAACTATACGAATCAAGCCGTGTGCGGGCGGCGACATCGCCGAATTCGCGTCGCTTAGCGATCTGGTGCGCGCGTCGATTTGTAACGTTCGATCCAGTCGTCGCAACTGTCGCAACTGTCGCAATCGTCGCGCTCGTCGCATTCGTCCGTATTATTTAGTTGCCGACTAGCTTTTACTGACACGCCCCGTCACGTGTTGCCCTCCCTTTCGTGTGTGTTGACTCTAGGGGTGGCACAGGCGGAACAATCCAACCAGCAACGGCTTGAGCACGCGGATGGCGGCGTTTGTCTTTTAGTGTCGCTGTGCGCGTGTGTCCACGATTACTGCCAGCAGCACGGCGTTGACTTGCCACAAAACGCCGCCTTCACTCTCTCCTACTCCACCAACATTCCTCGCCAGGTAGGGTTACCACCAGCATACCTCTCCCCGTGGTTCTCCATCCCTTGCCACTCCATCTCTCAGCCCATCTTCATAAAGATTCCTTATGCTTGGCACCACCACCATCACCATCATCCACCATCACCAAAAACCACCATCGCATCTGTTGTGTCCTTGACCCATCTATCCCCTCGGCACACTTATCCCATGCTTTCTCTTTCGAATTCCCCCTCCCGCTTCCACCAACCAATCAGGTGGGTTTGTCAGGATCCAGTGCAATCATTACTGCCGCCCTAAGCTGCCTCCTCCATCATTGCCACCTCCACCGTGCCATTCCCGTACCTGTTCGCCCAAACCTCATCCTCGAGGCTGAGAGCAGGCTCGGTATCGCGGCAGGCCTGCAGGATCGGGTCATCCAAACCTACGGTGGACTGGTGTTCATGGTTAGTGCCGTTTTTCCAAAAAAAAAAAAAACTCGAATTGAGCGTGCTTTGCACCGTAGAGAATCCATTTCCTGTTTCAAGCTTCAAAGACCTCAGGGAGAAGCAGGGCTTAATCTCGGTCTTTCCTCTTCCTCCTTCCCACCTCTCTCTCAGGACTTCAACAAACCGCACCTAGAAGCACAGGGCTACAGCGTGTACCAACCCATGGACCCAGCCCTCTTACCTTCCATGTGTACAGTCCCATTTTCTCCCTGCACGTCCTGACTGCGCTCATGCTGCCTTCTCCTATCCCGCCCCTCAGGAGTTTAAACGCACACACCTAGAAGCACATGGATATGGCATGTACCAGCCCATGGACCCGGCCCTCTTACCGCCTCTGCAGATCATTTTCTTCCTGGCATATACCATAACCGGCCCTCTCACTGTCTCCTTTTGCTGCCTTCTTCTCACCCCTCAGGACTTCAACCAACCACATCTAGAAGCACATGGCTACGGCGTCTACCAGCCCATGGACCCGGCAAGCCCTGCTTTCTCCCCTCACACTCTCCTCTTCCTCCCTCCACACTTGCAGGACTTCAACCAACCACATCTAGAAGCACATGGCTACGGCGTCTACCAGCTCATTGACCCGGCTCTCTTACCTCCACTGCAGATCATCTTCGCAGCCAATCCCAGCGACTCAGGCCACGTGCACAGCTCCGTGCGCGCCAGGTGGCAGGCGGGTGACGTGGCAGTGCGCCAGGCCATGGCTGACGTGGCAACGCTGGCAGAGGAGGGGCAGAATGCACTGGTGGCACGGGATTGGGGGAAGCTCGCTCGGTTGATGGACCGGAACTTTGATCTGCGCAGGTATGGTGTGCGCAGGTGACAATAGCCCAGGTGTGATTTGAGAATCTGGTACAATCTGAGTGGCTGGTTTTACCTCAGTATTGGGGGAAGCTCGCTCGGCTGATGGACAGAAGCTTTGATCTGTGCAGGTATCATGTGCTTGTGTCAGGTGGGCATGGCAATGTGAAGCAGGAAGAAACACAAACACACACACCATGCCCTACCTTCTCTCTCTCTCATGATCTTATGCTTCTCCTTCTCACCCTCCCCTCTCCAACTTCCAGGCAGATGTTTGGAGACGAGGTGCTAGGGGAAGTGAATCTGAGCATGGTGCAGGCAGCACGGGCCGTGGGGGCAGCAGCCAAGTTCACAGGCAGCGGTGGTGCCGTAGTGGCGTTTTGCCCTGAGGGGGAGCAGCAGAGAGCGAGGCTGGAGGAGGCGTGCAGAGAGAAGGGGTTCTGTGTGGTGGATGCTGCTGTACAGTTGGATTGAGGGGCTCGTAGAGAGCAAGGCTGAGAGAAGCGTGCAGAGAGAAGGGGTTCTGTGTGGTGGATGCTCTAGTAGCTACTGCTGTGGATTTTGAGGCGGATGCTGCTGTGGAGGTGGACTGAGCGGCTGAGCGGCTTGTAGAGAGCGAGGCGGCTGGAGGTGTGCAGAGAGAGTGGGGTTCTGTCTGTGTGCTGGATGCTCAGGTTCGTGCTGCGGTGGGTCGCGGTACTGCCGATGAAGCTGGTTAAGAAATTCACGGTGTCTACGGAAGTCATTGTGGAAACTCTGTTTCATTTTGGAATGAGTGTGATGCTTGGAATCCATGGTAGTCATTGTTTGAGGCTCCTGAATGTTGTGTGCATTGCATCACTCACTCATCCATGTTGTTTGAGCCTGCAGAAAGACCACTGTGTTAATGAGAGAAGCGACTCATAGCCCAGCCCAGGGCCACCCTAAGCATCCATTGCAGGCTTACCAAGGAGCTGCCAGAAAGCCGAGAAGGAACATGCAGCATCAGATCAAACAGTTGGCTGTAATTTGCAGCACATGGCTTAGTTGACATGTTTCTGGAGGCCTCAGTGTGAGACAGAGACTGTGCATGACAATGGGGCTTCCTGCCAGCAGTGGGAGTGCAAGCCTTTGTAGGAGTACCGTAAAACAATGGCTTGCCATTTAAGAGCCAATGTAGTGATGGTAGTCGGAGCGAATACAATTGCCCCGGCTGACCAGAGCTCGCTTCTCTGCCTGCTTAGCCTCCTCTCCCTCCTCCACCTCCTTTTTTAGTCGACTTAAAGAGGTCATGCAGTGGTGGCAGTGGTGGTTGCAGCCATGCCTTACAACTGCTCCATGCGTCTATTAACAGGAGCTACCACTGCTGCTAACCAGTGGCTGCTACCACTGCTGCTAACCAGTGGCTGCTACCACTGCTGCTAACCAGTGGCTGCTACCACTGCTGCTGACCAGTGGCTGCTACCACTGCTGCTGACCAGAGGTAGCTTTTCCACCTCCAACTCCTCTACATGCATGTTGAGTTGAGTCAACTTGAAAGTCGAAAGTCATGCGGTGGTGGCAGCAGTGGTGGCCGCGGCAGTGGCCATGGCTGGCAGCTGCTCCATACGTCTGTTAACGAGAGCTAGTTTCTCCTCCACCCGCACTCTGAGTCGACTCGAAAGTCACGCGGTGGTGGCAGTGGCAGCCATGCCCTGCAGCTGCTCCAAGCGTCTGTTGACAAGAGCCAGTTTCTCCTCCGCCTCCTCCGCCTGCTTCCTCACTCCGTCTACCACTGCTGCTGGCGCCTTGTCCACAAACTGAGGGAACGAACAAGGGAAGGGAGGGAGAGCAGGTTTGAGGGAAGGGAGAGGGCGGTGGTTGCACCATCACTCCCTCTACGAAAACTGCTGGTGTCTTGTTCACAAACCGAAGGAAGAAGCGAGGCGAGGTCGAATGTGTTGGGAGGACGGACGGAGTTTGTGTTTGCGTAGCATTGAACTTAAACCAGTACTGCTGCTGCTGGTGCCTTTTCATGATCTTGTAAGCCAGGAAAGGCCGCACATGTCAAAAGCTGCAGGGACCTACCCTGTCATTGGCAGTGCCGTGAGAAAACATCACTCAGACTGGCATGGACTGACAGGGATTCAGCCATTGCTAGCTATGCACCCTTTTGGAGGAGAGGCAGGAGCGGCAGGAGTTGAGATCAGCAGTGAGCTTGGTCTGCTGCTTGCTTGCCCAGGCGATGCAGCTCCTTTTGAGACACACAAGTGTTTACAGGCACAGCTAAACACCTTGCAGATGCATCTGTGGCTAGCGACACACCTTTTTGGAGGAGAGGCGGGAGCGGCAGGAGTTGACGTCGGCTGTGAGCTTGGTCTGCTGCTTGCCCAGGCGCTGCAGCTCCTTGGGCACGTCCACCATGTCCGCAATTGGCAGGTATGCCTCCAGTCCCTCTGCTGCCACCACATGCACACATGCTGCTGCTGCTGCCTTGTCTGGGTTGGGGTGATTGAATGGGGACGGGAAGAGGGAGAGACAGGGGTGGGGTGAGGGTACGAGGGGTTTGAGAGGGGTGCTGCAGCATGGAGATGGGGCATTGGGAGGGGAAAGGATAGTCGGATGGGAGGGGAACATGGCTGCTTGCCCAGGCGCTGCAGCTCCTTGGGAACGTCCACCATGTCTGCTATGGGCAGATATGCCTCCAGTCCCATGCACACATGCTGGCGCTGCTGCCGCATCTGGAATGGGGTGAAGGAAAGGGGAGGGGACGAGCGAGGGGTGACAAGTGAAACACGCAGTACATTTCAATTGCAGACGCAGCAGCGGAGCACACTGATAGCGACGAGACGAGCATTGAGGCGCCTTAAGGATTGTGGGAGATGATGCATGCACATCTCGACCGCAAGCGCATCCATCGCAGCAGCACGGTACAGTGATAGCGACGTGGCTCACCTGGTTGGTCCGATGTGATGTGCAGAGAGGAAGGGTCAACTCGAGCAAGCAAGGCTAGCACATCCCTCTCACCCTGTGTGCCATGAATGAACAGAGGTCATACACACAGGGCAGGCATGAACGTGATAGGTAGGATCGCACACACATGAGTAGAAGGGGGAACAAGGCAGGGGGAACACACGCGAGGGGACACCATTGAGTACGTCTCAAAAAACCATTACGCCAGATGACGGGAAGAGACCTCCTTGTAATGACCGGGGATGCACTAGAGGAGGAGACATGACAGCAAGGATACATTCGCATGAGATAAAAAACATCACAAGGAATGGTGACCCAGGAGCCAGCAGGCATGCACGTGAATGGCAGGAGAGAGGGCAGGAGCAGCAATGACAGTGGCAGCCAACTTTTTGGCCGGTTCCATTGAATACTGACCCATCCAGCTTACATTCTTTCCCTTACGTGAGCATGGAAAAGAGAAACGAGGCACGCACCTGAATGGCAGGAGAGAGGGCGGGTGCAGCGATGACAGTGGCAGCTATCTTTTTGGCTGGTTCCACTGAATACTCCGCCCTCACATTGCGGATGGCTCACACCTGCACAAGGCGAGAAGGGGATTGGGGGTTGTGGAACAATGAAGGGTGTGCTTGTCTGCATAGAAGGTGTCTGCCTTACGGCTATCTTCTTGGCCGGTTCCACTGGGTACTCCACCCTCACATTACGAATGGCCCGCACCTGCATGCATAGAAGGGAGAGGGGGGATGAGGGGAACACGAGAGGGTGAAAATGGATCGGATTTTCTTGCACGCACACTGCAGATGGCTTGTGTCTGCAAGTGGAAGGGGGGGTGGGGGGAGGGGACAAGACAAGGGGATATGGTTGTGAGTTCAGGCAAGAGCTCACCAGTGGTTCTGAGAATTCACAAAAGTGCTTCCTCTCACCAGTGCTTGAAGGTCGTCAAATTCCTCCTGAGCCTGCGTGTCCCTCGGCAAACCAGCAGCGGGCCAGGGCGCGAGCATGAGGGTGGGCAGGGAGGAGTCATGTGGCAGCGCCTGCCAGAGTTGTTCGGAGGCGAATGGCATAAAGGGGTGCAGAAGTCGCAGCACGGAGTCAAACGCGTATGCCAACACCGCCTGCGCCTGCTGCTGCGCCTCGTCTGCTGGTGCGCCTTGGGACTCCTTCGCCTGCCCTTCGTTCTCACTCTCACTGCTGCTTTCACCGCTGCTGCTGGAGGAGCGGAAGCCACTGTAGAGGCGGGTCTTGCTGGCCTCAATGTACCTGATGGGAGCGAATAAAGGGGTGCAGCAGGCGCAGGAAACATTACATCCATGATTAAGATATCTATCCTATCTGAGCTGTATTGATGCAAAGAAGCCATCTGAACCGTAGCTTTGATGCAAAGAAGCCATCTGAACTGTAGCTTTGATGCAAAGAAGCCGTACCAGTCAGCAAAGTCGCTCCAGAAGAAGTCGTAGATGCGCCGGCCTGCTGCGTTGAACTCGTACGCAATGTACGCCTCTGTGACCTCGTCCACGAGAGTGTGCAGACGGGAGAGCTGCAGAAGAGCAATGAGAGCAACGAGAGAAACGTGAGCAATGTGAGCATGCAAAGGTGAGGGACGATGAGCCTCGGATGGGACAGTAGGTTTTACACACCCACATCAAGTCGCCAGCCCAGTGAGACAACAGCAAGGTAAATTAGATGCAAGGAACTGAAGAAGCAAGGAGGGAAAGGAAGTGAAGCTGATAGCCATCCACTGTGCTGCAAGTGGCAACAGCATTCAACCTACCAGCCATCTCTCGGCCAATGGGAGGGCAGCAAGCGCCTCAGGAGTGTCAAACTGTCATGTGGGGACAGTAATATAGAGACAATGAGACGTAGAAGAGAGAGGGGGTTGATTGATTGATTGGAGAAGAGAGAAGGGGTGGGATGGAGGAAAAGTTGAAAGCGAAGAATGTCTTGGGAGTCAGAAGGGGCATTAGCAGGACAGGGAAGACTACTATTGTCTGATCCCTCTTGCCCCTCCATGAACCTTCAACAAACTACACCTCACACACACCTTGACTTGCCCCAGGCGCTGCCACTGCTTCTCGTCGTCCTTGCTAGGAAGGTTCTGCCGAATGAACTTCCCCGCATTCCATATCTTGTTCACAAACGCCCTGTTGGCGCCCAGACGCTCCATAGACAGATTCACGTCCTGCTTGTAACGAGGATGAAATCCGAGAGGGTGGAGGCAGGAACAAGAAAAGCCAGCAAGGCAAAATGAGATACTGGCATAAGGAGCTGACACCACTGTAACTACTTTTGAGGCGCCTCAAAAGTTAACTACCACCTATCCACCTGGAAGAACTACAAGACTTGGAAAAAAAGTTATTTGCTCACAGGAATAGGTTTTCTCGCTGGGGAGCGAACTCACCTGGCCAGGAGTGGTGCCGGTGGCGAGGGTATATCTGAGGGCGTCGGTGCCAAACTCATTGATCGTATCCAATGGGTCCACCACGTTGCCCAGCGACTTGGACATCTTGCGCCCCTGAGGGAGGAACACATGGGGAACAGGGGCGGGGCGTGGGGTCGAAGTGAGAGGCGAGCGGACGGAGGGAAGAAAAGTGATTGTGTCGACAAGGTCCACCAGGCGGACCTTATCAAGTGCCTTGGACATCTTGCGACCAGGCGCGGAAAGAGAGGCCAGGTGTTGCGGGGTTTACCGAGGGAAAGACACGGGAGCGGTGGCCAGATGGACCACCAGCATACACCAGACACAGCATGTAGGCGCGATGCACATACGGTACACACCTGTGCGTTGCGCACGAGCCCATGCAGGTAGATGGTGTGGTGTGGAAGGGCAGCCTGCCGGTGATCTCCAGCCCCATCATGGTGACCACCCAATATACGTACACCATACACCACACATACACAAACATGCACCTGCATACCACCCAGACACACACACGCACGTATCTGTGCGTCGCGCACGAGGCCATGCAGGTAGATGGTGTGGAAAGGCAGCTTGCCTGTGAACTCCAGCCCCATCATGGTCATGCGTGCCACCCAGAAGAACAGGATGTCGTGCCTGCATGCCATGCCATGCCGTGCCACACATGGGCGGGATACAACCCGGGGGGGGGGGGTGGGGGGGAGGGGTAAAGGTGAGTTTTGAGTCGACTGAAAACGCAGCTTGCCTGTGAACTCCAGCCCCATCATGGTCATGTGTGCCACCCAGAAGAACAGGATGTCGTGCCTGCATGCCGTGCCATGCCGTGTGATGCCATGCCATGCCATGCCATGCCACATGCCATGCCATGCCATCATGCCATGCATGGGCGGGATACAGGTGAAGGGGCCGCAAGAAGCAATAAAAGGTGTGGGAAATAAGCCGTTTTCCAGCCAAAACACACTACAGGCTGACAAGCAGAGACAGGGGAAGCAGTTGAGGCAAATTACATTGCAGGGAAGTGTAACGGGTACTTACCCTGTTTCCATGACCGAGGTCGGGTAATACTTCTGGTAGTCCTGTGCTGACTCGTTGGGCCAACCCAACGTGCTGAATGGCCACAGGCCACTGCGTGGGGTAAGATGAAAGGCAAAAGAGGAGAAACTAAGAGAATGGCAAACGTACCACAGGCAGAGCAGAAGACGAGTTTAATTGAGCTGCCTGCCTCACAATCATAACGACGTCAGCTCAAACCACGGCTTGAGTTTGGAACCACTGAGACTGGAAGTTCACACGTGTGCAATTTCAGACAGAAGAAAGCAATGGCAACCAGGGTGAGGAGTGGGAGGGTGCAGACTTAAAAACAAAGCAAACCCACGTCCATACCTTGAGAACCACGTGTCCAGCACATCAGGGTCCTGCTCCAACCGCACTGTCTCAGCCGCCTCGAGGTGACTCCTGAGTCGACTCAAACGTACCTAGAGAGCCACGAGTTTGAATTGCAAAACCGCATACGTACTTTGAGAACCACATGTCCAGCACATCAGGGTCCTGCTCCAACCGCACAGTCTCAGGTGCCTCATCCCCGTAGGTAATTTCTGAGTCGACTCAAAACCGCATACGCACCTGGAGAACCACGTGTCAAGCACGTCAGGATCCTGCTCCAACCGCACAGTTTCCGCCGCCTCGTCCCCGAACATCTCCCGAACCTTCTCCCGAGCCTCAGCCTCAGTCCCAGCCACAACATACTCCACCGCCCCCTCCTCAGCACCGGCAGTGCCCTTCCCAGGTAGAGGAGCCGGCGGGGCGGAGTCCCAGGAGGGGTAGAAGACGGGGATGCGGTGGCCCCACCACAGCTGCCGACTGATGCACCAATCCCTGATGTTGTCCAGCCAGAACTCGTAGATCTGCAAGGGAATGAAAGAGGGGAGGGGGAGATGGCATGATGAGGGGGAAGGGACAACCAAGCATCTGATGAGACACAAGAGGGGAGCTGCCGGCTGATGCACCAATCTCTAATGTTGTCCAGCCAGAACTCGTAAATTCGGTGGGGCACAGGAGGAAAGCTTTGAGAGCCAAATGGGGGAATGGGAATGACGAGGCCCTTACCTTCTCGCACCACCTGTAGGCTAGGCTGACAGTCAGCCCACCTGCGCACCTCAATCTCTCATGGAAAAGGCAAACTCGACTTTTGAGGCGCTTCAAATCACTGGCCACTACGAACCCTCACAGGACACACCTTTTCGAACCGCTCTGGAATGATTTTGAGTTCGCCGGTCCGTGCTGCTTCCAGTGCCGGCTCTGCCAGTGGCTGCATGCGCACAAACCACTGGCGACTCACCAGCGGCTCCACCACCTGAATGCAATAAGCAAACAATGGAACGGGTTTCGGGTTTAGGCAGGGTAGTGCAAGTGTGTGCGTTGAGTATTGGAGGGGCAGGGTTGCTGCCAGTGGCTGGCTGCATGCATGCGCACAAACAACTCCGACTCTCTGACTCATCCTCGGCTCGGCCACCTGAATGGAATGAAAGCACGCAAATGAGAGAGACGGAGGTGACGATGTTTGTTGATCAAACCACAAATGCCCCCCTCTTATAGCGCGATCCACCTATCGTCAGCACCAGCTTACATCTGTTCTCGTTACAAGCATACCTCGCCTTCTCGTTGGGAGCGTGGCACCCGCTGCATGTGTGGCTGCTGCTTGATCGCCAGACCTTCCTTCTCCAGCTGCTCCCATACCTGCTTCCGAGCCTCAAACCGATCCAAACCACTGCGGAGAGGAAGAGGTTGGGGAGAGTGGAGGAGAGGGGGGATCCATTGCGAAGGAAAGGAAGGAGCGGAGTGGAGAACGGGGAATGGAAATGGGCATCAAGTGTACTCATGCATCAACGCGGCTTGCGATGGTGCGTTTCGAGTTTTCATTTCATGGCATACGCACACACGCTCGAGTGTCTCTCCCACCTCACATAACCGGCACTCACCAGAACGCCCCCGCATTTTCATTGAGTGTGGCATCCTTATTGAGAATGTTGATAATGGGCAGGTCTCGTCCCCCCCTTGCAGTATGGCATGCGCACACTCGAGTTGCTTTCCTTCACTCACCAGAACGCCCCTGCGTTTTCATTGAGTGTGGCGCCCTTGTTGAGAATGTTGATTATGGGCAGGTCACGCCGCTGCCTATGGCATATGCTCCTAATATCTAATCGCTCCTCCACCTGATGAACAAAGCACTCACCAGAAGGCCCCTGCGTTTTCATTGAGTGTGGCATCCTTATTGAGGATGTTAATAATAGGCAGGTCTCGGCGCTGCCCGATGGCATAGTCATTGATGTCATGGCCGGGAGTGATCTTGAGACACCCTGTGCCAAACTCCATGTCCACGTACTGGGATAGCGGGGGCAGGGAACGGGGAGACGTGATATGGGGGGGGAGAATGGCGGAACGAGGTTGGGATGGAATGGCATAGCCGTTGATGTCCTAGCTTGGGGTGATCTTCAGGCACCACGTGCCTAACTCCATGTCCACGTACTGGGGCAGTGGGGGCGAGGCACCAGGGCGGAATGGGGAACGGGGAACGGGGGAATGAGGCCGGGATGGAACCCGGATGAGGCCGGGAATGAGGCCGGGATGAGCCAGCTGAACACATAGTCGCTTTCATCACTATAGAGCTTGCACCAAGTCCGTCGCCATGCAGAAATCTCCTGACAAAAACAATTTCTCGAGACTAATCATCTTAACCAGGGACGGGTAATCACTCACATCGTCAGCAATGATGCGAATGGTCATGCCGCCACACAAGGGCACCACGGCCTGCCGCCCCACGTACTGCTTTTGAGGCGCCTGAGGGATGGACACAGCAAGTCACTCACATCATCGGCAATGATGGGAATGGTCCTGCCGCCACACATGGGCACCACTGCCTGCTTTCCCACAAACTTCTTGAAGCGTTCGTCCTCTGGGTGCACGGCCACTGCTGTGTCTCCCAGAATGGTCTCTGGGCGAGTCGTGGCTACAGGTAGATAGTCGTCTCTGAGAGGTGGGTGGGAGGGGAGACACAGGGAGACAGAGAGAAAGAGGGAGGGCGGGAGGGGGGGGGTGTGAGCCTGGCGCCCCACGTACTGCTCGAAGCGCTCGTCCTGTGGATGCACGGCCACTGCTGTGTCGCTCAGAATGGTCTCTGGGCGAGTCGTTGCCACTGGCAGATGGTCGCCCCTGAGGTGGGAGGAGGAGAGAAGTAGGGCGGGAGAGAGGGATGTGTGAGCCTCTCTGTGGCTGCGCCATGGCTCCCAGCAAATAGTCGCCCCGGCCAGGGGAAGGGGATTACACGGAGGATTTCTGGGGGTGGCAAAGATTGTTGTACAGCAGTATTGCAGAGCAGTATTGCAGAGCAGTATTGCAGAGCAGTATTGCAGAGCAGTATTGCAGAGCAGTATTGCAGAGCAGTATTGCACAGCAGTATTGCAGAGCAGTATTGCAGAGCAGTATTGCAGAGCAGTATTGCATGGAAAAAGTGGGTTGGGTGGAAAACAAACCATACTCCACTTTACTCCACTTCCTGGTTGGAACTTTCAGTCAAGTAGGAATTGCAACTTACTCTGTGCCTCCAACGATGGGGTACTTGAAGAAGTAGAGCGTGCCTGGCTCCTCTGAGTACTCCACCTCCTGATTGGCGAAATGGGCATAGGGGATGGGAGGAAAAGGGGTGGAGGGAGAGGGAATGAGCGAGGGGGAAGGAGGGACGGGGTTCATCAGGGGGGGGTGGCGGCGAGCAAGGGAGGAGTATGAGATACAAAATGAGGAGGATGGGGAATGAAGATACAGAAAGAGGTCATGAAAACGACAAATGAGATTGAGAGTGCATAACAAGGAAACGGACTGGGAAGGTCCGACAGGAATGCTTCTAATACTACTGGTTGCCCTGCCCACGCTCACCAGATCTGAGACAGCGGTCTGCAGGAAGGGCGACCAGTTCACCATGTAGGTGCCTGGTGGGGGTGAGAGGTGATTGGGCACGTGTAGAAAGTAGATTTTTGAGACGTCTCAAAAATGCCTGGTGGGGGTGAGAGGTGATTGGGTAAATTGGGTGGGGTGGGTTGATTGGTTGCGGACGTTAAATCCATTCACATCACACTGCTTGGAAGAAGAACGCATGAGAAAACATCGGCATGTTCCCAAAGGAGACTCAGCAGGCATGTGAGTGAGAGCGAGTTAGGAGTGCAGACCAACCGCGATAGATGAGTCCCTTGTTGTGCAAGCGGACAAATGCCTCCACCACGGCCTCTGGAAGGACGTGAAAGGGAATGGGATGGTCAAACGAGAGTTACAAACTGTGAGAGCGTGACAAAGGGGATGATAGGAAGGAAGGAGAAGAGAGGATGTGAGATGGGAATGTAGCATGACAATTCTTGAGTGAAAAAGGGACATTATGACGAGCAACGGGCCATCTTTGACGGGCGAGCGGCCAGTAAGAAGAGAGAGAATACATGGGGTTGGGCATGGAGGGGGTTAATCTTTTGGTAGTGACAGTGGGGATGGGGGGAATGGTGGGGTGAGTGTGGTGGGGGGCTTGGGGATGGTGGGCAGTGGGAATGGTGGTGGAAATTGGGGGCTGGGATGGGACGACTCACTGCTGAGTTGATCATCCAGGGTGAACCTCTCTCTCGACCAATCACAGGAGGCGCCGAGCCTGCGAATCTGCTTTGCGATTGTGCCACCATATCTGCCAATGCCACACCATTCCGAACCAGATAAGCACAAAGATACAGTATAGTGCTACTGGTAATATGTGCTTTCATGTCCACGTCAACCAAGACAAACAAATGAAACAGTTGCAGTGCACATTGTATCCTTCCACCCCCACACTCACTTCTCCTTCCACTCCCACACTCGCTTCTCCTTCCACTCCCACACTCACTTCTCCTTCCACTCCCACACTCGCTTCTCCTTCCACTCCCACACTCACTTCTCCTTCCACCCCCACACTCACTTCTCCTTCCACCCCCACACTCACTTCTCCTTCCACTCCCGCTCTCACTTCTCCTTCCACCCCCACACTCACTTCTCCTTCCACTCCCACACTCGCTTCTCCTTCCACTCCCACACTCACTTCTCCTTCCACTCCCACACTCACTCCTCCTTCCACTCCCACACTCACTTCTCCTTCCACTCCCACACTCACTTCTCCTTCCACTCCCACACTCACTTCTCCTTCCACTCCCACACTCACTTCTCCTTCCACTCCCACACGCGCTTCACAAATTCTTCTCGGCCCAGCTCCTTTCGGCTGATCCCCTCAGAGGCCAGCATCTTCTCCACCACCAGCTGTGAGAGGCAAAGGGAGGGGCGCACAGAGGAGTACACGGGTAATTTCTGGGTGGCTCAAGAGCCCGTTCTTCCTTCAAAAGCCCCCTCAGACGCCAGCATCTTCTCCACCACCAGCTGTGAGGGACAAAGGGAGGGACACACGGAGAAAGGGAGGGGAGAATTAGCACCACACAGAGAAAGGGGATGTGCACTCATAATGGTGGCTAACAGATTCACAAGTTTCTCTATTCAAATTCCCTCATATGCCAGCATCTTCTCCACTACAAACTGTGGAGGGCGAAAGGAGGGACACACAGAGTGAGGGAGAATGATATGATTGCACAATGTTACGTGAGATGAACAGGGAACCTGTTGCTGCCATGCCTTTTGAGGCGCCTCAAGAGATGAACAGGGAACCTGTTGCTGCCATGCCAACCGCTGGAGGTTCAAGTTTATCTCGACTTAATTGCCGCGCAACACACCTAAACGACAATTCCCCACATGCTCCGCAAGTGATGTTGCTTCTGACAATATTGAAATCACTCGCTTGGGCGCGCAACGCACCTGAGTGGCGATGCCTGCATGGTCTGTGCCTGGAAGCCAGAGGGTGGGACGCCCCTTCATGCGCCAGAACCGAGCCATAATGTCCTGGTGCCGCACACAAGGGTGGTTGGGAGAAGGAGAGCGGGGGAATGAGATCAGGAAAAGTTTGTGACACCCCTTCATGCGCCAGAACCGAGCCATGATGTCCTGGTGCCGCACACAAGAGTGGAGGGGAGAAGGAGGACGGGGGAACACAGAGCAGGAAGGGTTTGAGATGCCTCAAGATGAGCCAGAACCAAGCCATTGATGTTCTTATGGTGGTGGGGAGAACACAGAGGATCCGCTTGGCAGTAACATACATGTATTGATGTATTGTTGGTACTGGATATGCTGCGCTGGATTGGGATGGTATGCTGTGCTTAGGACTGCTTGTTCACTAAGTGAGTCAAACGTACCTCGAGAGTGACGAACTGCCCCTGCTGCTGCTACATGCTGTAAAGTCACACTGCTGTTACATGCTGAAATTCTACCCCATTACCCACCTCGAGAGTGACGAACATGGCATGGCCCATGTGCAGCGCGCCAGTCACGTTGGGAGGGGGCATGGAGATGACAAACGGAGTGCTAATGTCAGTCTTATCACTGCTGTCACCAGCAGCAGCAGCAGCGCCTGATTGCAGAGCGGACTCGTCTGGCTTGAAGTACCCGCTGCCCTCCCACCTGCCAGCACCAACCAGGTACAGACAGCAGGAGATACAAGGGGGGAATCTTAGTGTCCCTCCCTGATTCTCACCAAGCAAGTCGAATCCTGCGCCTGACAGGTGCATACTCTGCTCATTTTCATCTCTATCTCGCCACTGACCAGGCTGATATCCGCTCGTCCTAGCCAAGACCCTCTCATCACAACCATCCACTGTCCAGGCGTACATCCTCAAATCTCTGCCGTCAACTAAACAATATACATATCCTCTCACCTCATCTCAACCGTCGAATGACCTGGAAGAGGTCCAATCCTCTCGGCCGTCCATTGTCCAAAAAAACAACAAATCCTTTCACCAGCCATCTACTGTCCAAGCACGTTGCACTGACCAGGCATAGATTTTCTCCTCTGCAGAGAAGTCAAAGGCCTTAGGAAGAACGGAGGGAAACACGTCCTCCCCTGCAGCTCCCTCATTGCCCACCAGAGAAGCAAGCGTTCTTACTGTCTCAGTGCAGAAAAAAGTGTGGGAGAAGTGAAAGCGGGAAAGCACAGTGAGACGAAGTTGCAAAACATCTGAGGTGAATTGGAAGGAAGCGACATGATGCCTTGCTCTTGCCCTTGGACAACATTCAATCTCATCTGATAATGAACTGGTACACCTGGGTTCGTCTGGTGACATTGACTCTTAATTGCATTTTTCTTTCTTCCTACGATGACGATTTTCACTATTGTTGAAACCCTTCACCTAAGCTCGCGACAAATGCGCCATCCGCTAAATTTCGATTTCATGCTGACATGCAGACACTATCGACCTCGTCCCTCTCATTCCAACCTGGTCTAACGCCGGAATGCACGGAGCACGGCTTCGCGTGGCGTGAGCCGAGCAACGGTCGAGTCGCAAGCGAGCTCAGCGAATTCGACGACACTCCCAGCCAGATGCTCCTTTCAGCACCAACACGAGGAAAGCTGCTCAATCGACGAGAAATCGGCGATACGTTAGTGCTCAACGCTGGTGATCTGATGACGCACTGGTAGCTGACACCGTGACAGATGTGTCGCACCATCCCGGAATGGGTGGAGCACGAAGGGGTGGCCGTTCGGGTAACGGACGACGGAAAATTTGAGGGACTAAGTCCCCGGAAAGCGGACGAGGGTACGGTGGAGCGGGAGGTTGTAAGCGCTACGTGAGAGCATAGCGAGGCTGCATTCCCGCGAATGGTCGAGGTACCGGGCCTCATTGCACCCCACACCACAACGAGTCCGTGAAGCTAGCTGCGAGCGAAGGAACTTCACGGGCAAGCTAGTCCGATGCCGACGCGGACCGGCAATCTGAAGTTCTCGAGAATCTCAGCAAGCGCAGTGCAAGTTTGGAAACGAAGTTATCGCTGAGGGAAGTGAACTGATTTGATCAGGCATTACCAGGTTTGCAAGTATTTCCAAGGTTTAGAATTCGGTACAAGACAGTTCAGCAACAAAATTGCTGGGAGGCGTTTTTGGGACCAAGCAGATAGGGAAGTGGGTGCTGCTGCGCTCGACGGGTGGATTGGTGGCGGGGTGGAGGTTGTGGGTGCTGCCCGCCTGGCAATCCCAAGGTGACATGTGCACAGCAGGGAATGGACAAGTGGTGGATGACGTGTCAAATTTTCTTGCAGGTATTAAGCCAAGTGATTTGAACTACGTAAGCATGTAAACAGTGTTTGTGATCTTACCCCACTCAATCTAAACTAAATCGAGTTCGCTCCGTTACGGGTACCGCCGCCGAAGAGCTGCTTCTTTCTGCCCACACAAAACCTAATCTTCCTTCAGCCGTCACGACTTCGACATTCGTCCAGCTTGCTCGTTCTTGGTGTCACTCTCTCCACGACATGGCGACCGACGAGCTAGGAGAATTTTACGTCAGATATTACGTCGGTCACAAAGGCAAATTCGGCCATGAATTTCTCGAGTTCGAGTTTAGACCAGATGGGAAGCTGCGATACGCGAATAATTCGAACTACAAGAAGGACACTATGATTCGAAAGGAGGTGTTTGTGTCGGAAGCTGTTATGAGGGAGTGCAAACGGATTATCGCGGAGAGCGAGGTACGCTTTAGCTTCCCGCTCTTCCTGCATCTCGTTCCGACGGAGCACTATAGAGTAGCCTTCGCGTTTAACGTTCCCCTTATTATTTCGCCGCTCGCCTTGGGGCCAAGGGTGCAGGTGACGAAGGAAGATGACAGCAACTGGCCAGAGCCGGACAGAGTGGGTCGTCAGGAGCTGGAGATTGTCATGGGAAATGAGCACGTATCGTTTCTCACTTCCAAGATCGGATCCCTAATCGATGTTCAGAGCAGCAAGGACCCAGAGGGCCTTAGGGTTTTCTACTATTTGGTGCAGGTACGCTTCTTAATGCGCAAATAGCAGTTTAGTGCTGCGATTGGTTGCTGTGGTTTCTTTATCAGAGCTGCCGTTTGTTCCGTTCTGTTTTCCTCCTTCGCTCACTCCTCTGTCTCCTCTTCTGGTTTTCTGTGGCATATCAGGATCTGAAGTGTCTAGTTTTCTCGTTAATAGGTCTTCATTTCAAGATCAAGCCAATTTAGCTGTAAGGTCAGTTTTTTGTATTACTACCATGTTCTTCGTAATCGAGGTTGTTTTGCTCTCATTTTTTGTTAATAGTGGAGTGTTAAGATCTTTATGTTGCTGCTCGGGTGGCCATGAGCCTTCGCGCTTTCATCAGCCTTCGGGTGGCCATCAGCCTTTCCTCTTGTTCTTTGTGCCCCTTCATCCTGCAGGCATTTCATAATCAGTCGTTTTTTCCTTTATGCTAAGCTGGTCTTTGTGGGCCTAACATCTCTACTAGCAGAACTCAGTCCTGCGCTGGGACTACACTAAACACCATTGTCATTACCAGGGCAAACAGTCATGAACCTGTGTTGCTGTGTCGTCCTGGTCAACTAGGTACGGTCGTTTTTTCCCTCAATTTATTTCCTAAGGCCAAGTGAATGGGAAATTTTGCAACCCTGAAATATATGGCTGCGGAAAGTGCCTGTACAATGCTACTTGTACCCAGTGTAATGTTTGTTCTAACAAGAACGCAAACTTAAAGCTTCACTGAACATTGGTCAAACTTGTGTAACTAAGGGAGCATGAGATCACGAGATGAAATGTAAGCCTTGTATGTATTAATATTTCGTTAATGTGCTGACGTTGTAACGACACTGCTCGCTTACTATGGTGGAGTTTTTGCTGACCTGGCCTGCGATCCTTTTCCCGCCCGACAAGAAGGGCTGCCCGTTCTCTTTTGACCCCAGCCACGGCATGGAAGTGTGGTATGGTCCGTGTGACAACGGGGTTCCTGCAAAAATTCCCGCGTGCCCGGATCTTATTAGACGTGGCAGTCACTGATACGGTACCCGTGTGGTGTGTGAAGCTCTGAAAGTTGTCGGAATGTGGTGCCTTGCATTTTTCCCGCGTGATTCGTATGTTCTTCGAGTACAGCAGAGGTAACCTGTCCAATGAAAATACTTCTGCTAATTGTATCCTCTCGCCTTACTTCGCAGCCAAAGAAAGACTGTCCTTGCTCGCGGGAGATCGGTTCAGCATACGAAGATACCGTGGCCACATCATTTTGTTACACGAGGCTGTTGCGACTCGTCCTGATTGGAAGAGGAACAGAGTTGAGGGCGGAAGACTGATTCGAAAGTACTGCATGCGCGTTGCGCATGCCCCCCCGCCAACACAGAAACGTCGCCAGTAGCTGACATTTGCGACGCGCGGGAGACGCACAAACTTCGCCAACTCGTGTTTTGCAGGGAGGGAAGATCGCGGAGGGGCCCGCGACATATATCAAACACGTTCCAACGAGCGAGTGCGACGTGACGACGTGAACGAGGGGTCCATTTGTGTCAAGGGGGCTGATGGGCGACCTCTCTATCAAACCGACGGTTGGCGCAAGCCGTCGCAGCAGCCCATCAGAGAGCCATCGTTCGTAGCCCCCCTACGGCCTAATGATGCAAACCAGGAGAATTTTGCTCAATTCCGCGGAAGCGCGGTTCGTTTTATTTTCGCCACGTGGCAAGCCTTCGATAGCGCGAACCGCGATCTGTTTTATTGTTCCCACAAAGTTCAAGAGAAACTTAGTTAAGTTATGTACCCCGCTGCCCGCGGGCAAAAATAAAACCCATTCGGGCATGGCATGCGTTAGAGAGGCATCAACCCTAAACACCTTGCGTCTATGTGTTTAGGGTTGATGCATCCCTAACGCATGTTTTTCCTTTAGGGGTTTTATTTTTGTCCGCGGGCAGGGCAGTACATGTGACTCACTAAGCCTAACTATATTTTCTTTTAAAAATTGTGGGAACAATAAATCAGATCGCGGTTCCCACGATCGAAGGCATGCCACGTGGCGAAAATAAAACGAACCACGATTCCGCGGAATTGAGCAAAACTCTCTGCAAACCAGATGGGTGACGAGACGAGGCGACGACGCGCATGGGCGCTGACGAGGTATTTGAGACGAGTGATCTGCGGAGAGATGAAGAGCTTGAACGTAAATCGGGTTCGTCAATTGTGAGCACCACTCATCGCCAACCATCCATCGCCGATTCATCCTCGATTTCGATCTCTCCCACGCCTGTGAGCACACACCAGAGCCGCCGCTTTCCCTCCATCCAACTGTCTGTATTCCCTCCACCAGCTCCCTCCCATCCCATCCCAACTTGCTCTCCCTCCTTTCCCTCTCTCCCTCTCTGTCTCCCCCGTGCTCTCATCCCCTCCTTTGTCTTGGCTCGGCATCCCTGGTCCATCCTGCCTCTTCCCGCCATTGACGTCGTCGGAGGGCGCATGAGCAGCAGAGCGCTCTGAACTACTTCACCGCAGTACTTCTTTCAAACAGCATCAATTGTTCATTTCAATGCTCCTGGCCGTCGTTGTAGCTTGTGCTCTATCCAAATTCTTCCTCGAACGTAACGGATCCGATCACTAGTTGAGCGTTAAGCGTCATATAGCCTCCTTCGATCTCCGTATATGTGCAGCAGCTTTAGCGGATTCGAATCGTCGTGAGTTTCCCGTGACTGAACGTGTTATTTCTCCCTTGACATACTATCTTTTTGGTGAATCGGAAGCCATGGGTAAAGGAGGATCCTTCGCCTTGCCGGATCAGCTTCTGGAAGTCAGCGCTTTCAAGACGTTAGAAATAGACCCGAACAATCTCTGCGAGAGGCCGAGAATCCTCGATGTCCTCGCTACAATCTTGGAGCGGATCATGGCTGCTAACGAAGCGAGCAGCCAGTGCGCGAATCAGAAGCTGACCGTGTTTCACGGCCTGCAAGCACCCGGCATCGGGCTTGACAAGTACCTGGATAGGATCTTCAAGTACGCGAACTGCAGCTACTCGTGCTTCGTGGTGGCGTATATTTATGTCGACCGGATTATCGAGCGACAGCCCGACATGCTCCTGACGAATCTGAACATCCATCGGCTGCTCGTCACCAGCGTCATGGTCGCCACCAAGTTCTTCGACGACGCGTGAGTAACCTTTTTTTTTCGCATGAACAACAGCTGTTTTTTTTCACACTGGTGTAACAACATTTAGGGTGGCTCCTAAGCTGTTGGTGAATGGATTCGTACAGAATCGAAACAGTCAGTGAGATTTATAGCCGGTTCAATAACTCAACCAGCATTATTTGGATCTTCCATTCTT